GCCGACGCGCTCCTCCAAGAGGGCGACGTCCAGCAACCCGAGCTCTCTCTCGCTCTCTCTTTAGCTCTCTCTCTCGATGCGTGCGTGGCCTACTGGCTGCGCGTGGCGCTGTGCTCCGCCGCGTGCTCCATCCTCTCCGAGGCCTCCTCTCCCATCACCCTCGCCGCGTATGTCGTCGCGCCCGGCGCGGTGCAGAACCTCGAGGTGGCCGCGCTCTCCTCGACCTCGCTGCGCGTGCAGTGGGCAGAGCCGGCGGAGCTGGGCGGCGCCAGCATTCGGTACTACGTGGTGCGACGCTCGTGGATGGCGTCGATGGCCGTGATCCAGAGCGAGAGCGAGAGCGAGAGCGAGAGCGAGAGCGAGGTCGCCAGCACGAACTGCTTCCTGGACCTGCAGAGCGTGCAGAGCGTGCAGAGCGTGCAGAGCGTGCAGAGCGTGCAGAGCGTGCAGAGCGTGCAGAGCGTGCAGAGCGTGCAGAGCGTGCAGCACGCGCCCATCTATCTGAGCGTGGCCGCGTTCACCGGGTATCTCTCCCGCCAAGAGAAGATCCCCGCGGTTCTGTATGCGGTGTGTGTGGAATCAGGCGGAGGGCATTGAGTGGGACTGTGCGATGGCGATTACCGGATCCTTCCATGATCTCTGCACCGCCACGTGCGAGCTTCGCGCTCCCGCCACTTCCTCCTTCCTCCTTCCTCCTTCCGCCGAACCGTCTGGTTCCCCGCGGGACGCGATGTGTGGGACGTGTTGGAGGGTGGGATCCCCGCGACTTCCTACACGCTGGAGTGCGTCCCGAGCGAAGTGGGCAGTGCCGAGTGGATGGGCAGGCAATTCGGAGTGTCCACGATGGCCACGTCGGAATTCGTTGGGTGTTGGTGGTGGACGGCGAGCCAACCTCCTCGCTCACCGGTTCGCTCTGGGTGTGGGTGTGGGTGTGGGTGTGGGTGAGCAGGAATCTGGTGGGCGATGGGGTGGGGTCCGTGGCTCCCTACGAAGGTGTGCAGAGTCGACCGGGCTCTCTGGATCTCTTCCTGTCCAACTGGGCGCAGAACGCCACCGTGGTCTCCGTCACCCAGCCCCTCCGCCTCCGCCTCCGCCTCCGCTTCCGCTTCCTCTTCGCCTACGACGTGACCGGCGCGCTCATCCGCGCCCACCTCGTCGATCACGCCTGGTGCGCCGTGGGTCGCGATGTTTCCACGTTTCCACGATCCAGACCGATTTGGCAGTTGCTGAGAGAAAGAGAAAGAGAAATGGTTGCGGTGTTTGGTTTGGAAGATGGATGGATGGATGGATGGATGGATGGATGGAATTGTAGAGATGTGGAATGGTTGAAGCGTTGTAGGATTTGAATGAGAATCGAAAATGTGTTTAGGAAGGAAGGAAAGAAAATGTAGATTTAGAGTGTGTAGGGTGTTGGAATGATTTAGAAACATGAACAGAATAATCCAGAACGAGGAACCAAACGACTCTAGTTGATAATAATAATAATAGATTGCTGTGAGTTGATAGTTGAAACAAAGAAACAAAGAAAAATAGAAAGAAAGTGTATTTAGAGTTAGTTGGTTGGTTTAGGATAAGGAAATGATAGAAAATGGAGTGAATGGTTAACGATGTGCGAAGATAGGTTCTTTGTGTGAAAATCACTGGATCAAAACCAATTTCCATTCCATTCGATTTGATTCGATTTACTAGTTTTACTAGTTTGAATTGCTTTCAAACCCAACCATTCCCAAGTCAAAATGATTTGGCTAGAATCATGGATGGATAGATTGGATTATCGAAATAATAATAATAATGATAATAATGATAATATAGACTATTTAGACAAAGTGGAGTGAGCAACCAAATCCTTGCTTCATAACACGATTTCACTATGATATCATAAATATACAACCTATACAGACATAGTAGACAACAAAATGGACTTTTCCATTCTGAGTGTTTCCAAACAATCCTGATATTATAAATATTATAAATATCTATACCTCCGAACTATTTCAACCACAAAAATGTGAACAAAATGATGCGAAACACAAGTGAGTACTTCACTTGGAAATCTTGGATCCAATGTGTATATGGTAGCACTCTATCATAATTTTTAAATATGAAGAATACTTAGGTGTAAGGAAACAAACTGATCTCTCTGTTTTCTTCATAAATTCTTTATATTTGGCTACAAATTACGGGTTCAAAGAGTAGAGGCTAAGGATATGTGATTCCAAATAGGTAGAATGCAAGAACTTAAGGGAAGCGAATTTCTCCTGGACGGTTACATAACGCTTGGTAAAGCAAAGGAAATCACTATTGGGGGCTGCAAGTATAGCCTCCAATATTATCAAGGCGATCACGAGGAAGAATACACGTTGACGAGAGCTGGGAAGGTTTGCCTATTCCAAAATGGCATACTGAAAATGTGCTACGAGTTGGATGCGAACGGGAGCGAAATCGGTGACTTTACACGATTTGAAAATGGATGCGTCGCTTTTATGCAATCCTATGATGAAATCTGGGACAACAAGAATTTTCATCGTATAATAAACCATGTCCGAGGCGAGCGTATGGAAATCTATTCGCATGCGAGTGATCACCTGATTTATCACGGTGAATTCAATGAGAAGCGAGAACGAGAAGGATGGGGCATCGCGTATGACGATAAAACGGGTGCCATGCTGCTCGAAGGAATCTGGAAGGAAAACAAGCTTGTGGAGATCATCCGCAAAATCGAGGGAACTATCATGACCGAGTTCAAGCGAAACGGTAACAACACCATCGCTTCGAATCGAATTCCCCTCTATGTGGGTGAATTCGTGTATGATGAATCGAAAGAATCGTTTCTTCGAAATGGTCGAGGATACTGGATCGATGAAGAAACTCGGATTGCTACTCGCGAAGTGGAATGGAAAGATGGAGTGGAAGTGAGTGGAAGAGATCTCTATGATGGATGGCATATTCATTCATTCATTCACTCAATATTACTTGTTTATTTAATACTATTGCTATGTTAATCACATTACATTTCACATTGTTTTGTTGATCAAATAGAAAGCAAGGTTTTCATTCATAGGATTCATCGATTCCATCCATTATCATATTATTCAATCGATTGTTTTGTTTAATGATACTATGATTCCTATTCACCATTTCAATCTATGAACCACATTCCTTTCTCTGCAATATCATTCTTTGCACTCAATATGGATGATCATTGTGACAGAAGAGAATCGAAGTATCAACAGAGAATCAATACAATAAACCACTTGTCAAATAGAAATGATGGATTTTGCATTCTACATACTACTGCCATCCTCTCTATTACGAATCTAACCATTCCAACAGTATTCACTATTGTGAGTTCGATTGTTGCAAAACAAGATTAACTACCACATAATTGATATATTTTGAAGAACATATATCCATTATAGACTTAATAGAACAGCCATTCTGACAGGAGAGAATAAAGGTGATGAAAATGCGTAATATTTTACATTCAAAGCTATAAGTATCTGAAAATAACACAAAAATAAATGAATAGATGGAAATGCACCGAAATAAAGAAAAATAGGAATGGGTGGAGAAAATGAGGTTTTATTATATGTATTCTAGTTTATAACATACCAGCATATCAAAGCCATACACAATAATCTATGACGTGTGTTCTATCGAGAAATAATGAAACAGACCTCGTTTCCAAAAAAACCGTTTTACCATATTTCTTTTCATTTCGATGCAAAACATTGCTGATTTTGTCAATTCTGCTATCAGTAACTATCACATTGATAGTTCTATTATTCAAAATGTGCAAATATGCTTGGGTAAAGAAATGACACCAAATGGCTGGATCTCACTCATATTGAGTAATAGAGAATGTGTAGTATTGCAATTCAATAATGGAGCATTTATGAATCAAGGATTTGTGCTCAATGAGCAGAAAGTGTTGAAAGTGTTTGGAAATCATCAAATTGGTGCTATTTCATATAATGAAGAACAATCCATAGAAGTAGTAGAAGGAATCGTGGATTTGGATCATGGAAGTCGATTTGAAGGATTGGTATTGGCAGAAAACAAGTTTGGAATTCCATTTGGATATGGTGAAATGTATGATGATGATGGATTCTTGGTGTACAAGGGTATAATGATCAATTGGAAACGATTTGGATATGGAGCGAGTTATCATAATAATGGTTTGATAGAATATGAAGGATATTGGTGTGATGATAATCGATTTGGAATTGGAAAAGTGTATGATCGATCAGGTAAATTAGTGAATGAATGTGAATGGTATAATGGAATTGAATGTGATATCGATGAAAAATATGAAGGAGATGGAAGCAAACCAATGAATATCGGAATGAAACACTTGAAACTGATTGACAATTGTGTATTGATTGATTGGGATGTTTCATTATTGTATAATTTGGAATCAATCGAAATCGGCAATGAATGTTTTGAATCAGTGAAAACATTCAAAATCGATGGATTGAATCGATTGAAAACTATCAAAATCGGAAGCAATTCATTCACTCAGGTGAAAAGCACTGACGAGTGGGACTACGAGAAGGTCAACAACAAATCAAACTCATTCCACATATTGAATTGTGAATCATTAGAATCAATTCAAATTGGTGAATATAGTTTCAGTGATTTTGGAGGCGATTTTGAATTGAAGAATCTACCACAATTACAATCCATTCAAATTGGTACAATTGGAAGTGATTCATACAATTTTTGTTTTAGTTCATTTGTGATTCGAGGTATTGATATGATATTGTATATTTGAATGATGCATAGATCTTCCAAATCTACAATCCATTACATTAGGTGATGTTGCATTCGATTATTCCTTCTCGACAATATTTGAAAGTATTGAATGAATTCGAATGAAATGATTGATGTAGATCTTCCATCATTACAATCCATTCAACTCGGTGATTATGCACTTTATGGAAGATGGGGTGATGAATCAAATTCATTGATAATGCGAAGTAATAATGAATTGATTGGTTATGATTTGTTTTGTAGATCTTCCAAATCTAACATCAATAACTTCTGTAGATTGTAGTTTCTGTGAACCTCGTGTAGTGACATTGGCAAGTATTTCTGAATATTGAATATTGATAGTATTTAGATATTCCAAATCTTCAAAATGTCAAGCTACCTGATTCATTCTGGTATGTTCGATCGAAATCAATTTCGAGTATAGTTTGATTGATTTGATTTGATTCATAGATGTTTCTTCCATTCTCGCTGATCTTGTCAAAATCGATGAGTAAATCTATAATTTTGATTTGATTTGATTTGTTCAGTGATTCGTCATTGTTTGGGAACATTTCCATTGATTGATTGATTGATTGATTGTTTGTTTGTTTGAAACCGATTCTTGATCACAATTCATGATTCTATAATTATCAAAATATCAATCCTGCCTGATTAATAGGATGTTTTTCTTTACCATTTTAACAATGATACTGAATTATGATTGTTGTTTCAATCAATCAATCAATCAATCATTGTTTTCGATCATTATCATTATCATCATTATTATTACCAATGACCCAATGATCACATATTGAACATTCACAAATAATGAATCCAATCTACCAATAATAATAATAATAATAATAATAATAGTAATATACAAATGATGGTTTGAATAGGTTTGAACTAGGATTTGTTCAATATTGATAGGAAACTACTTGCTTCGAATAATCATAATAGTCATAATCATGATGAATAATAAGATTGGATTTGCTAGTGACACAATGGAATGGTTGGAATCGATTGATATTGGATGATTATTCACATTTGTGAATCCATTGTTAAATCGGTAGATAATACAATAGAATACAATACAATAGAATGATTGATATTGAATTAGGATATTGATTTTGACTTATTGAATAGGAATCGATCACTGTATACATAGAATAGAATAGAATAGAATAGAATAGAATAGAATCAAATAGAGGTGAAATGGATAAAACAAGGCAATGAAACTAGAATAGAATAGTATAGAATAGAATCCGATTGAATAGCATTGGAAATCATATTGGATTCACCATTCAATCAATCCAACTATCATTTCTTTGTTTGTGTGTTTGTTTATCAATGAGTCACAAAACATGGATTTATCAATTTGATAATAATGGAATCAAATCGGATGTGTTTGATACTTGATAGTTGTAGTTAGTAGTAATATCAATCGTGGTTTCACAATTCGATATTTGGATGGAATGTCGTATTCTTCAATATCACACAAACCATTCACTCACTCATTCAATCAATCAATGGATGAAAGATAGCTGATTCAAAATGCAAATGAAGAATATCGTAAAGAATCAATTCATCATTCACACTCAATAATACTGATAAGAATAGAAAGGTTGTTCAATCCATTGATCCATTGAATGAATGATTGAATGAATGGTGTGTATTTGGTTAGTTTTCGATTTCCATTCATCATCATCATTATTATTATGATTGTATGATCATCCACATTATTCATCGGTCTATTTCAGCATATTGAATACCATTAGATCACTTTGGTATTGTTGATCATGAATAGAATGATTGGATAGGATCGATCAATCAGAATCAGAATCAGAGTCAGATTGATGATGAGTATTCAACCATCAATCCTCGTGATTATTATTAGTAGTAGTATTAGTTTTTGTTTTTGTATTTGTTCGATTATCAATGATATAGAATCGATCGAATGATTCATTGATAGCGATCCAATCGACTGATAGAATTATACAATTGATTCGATCGAATCCAAATGGAACAATCACTCAAACACATTGTAGTCTCAATGGTTGTTTTGCAATTGAATCGACCGAGATTCATGAAATCATTATGTTCGATCATTGTATTAGCTGGAATCTATCATTGTACTGTATTGCATAACAATACTCTTATTTCTTTCTTTCTTTCTGATCATTATTATTATCATTATCATTATTATTGATATCATTCAAATCATTAGATCCTATTCGAACAAGTCAATATGGAATCAGCATTTGATAATCACAATACAATAATGAGGCATATTGTGAGAACCATTTGTGTTGTGGTTTGAATATGAGTATTTCGATAATGGCCTTTCTTGGAATCCATTGTTTGATTGTATATTCAATATGCTGTTTGAAATCTAACACCGATGAATCCACAAATCACATATTTCGAATGAATCTTGATCGAACGACTTCAATCGAATCGTTTTGACAAGATTCATTGCACTTAATCCAATTGAATCAATAGGAATCGACACAATCCATATTTGTTTGTTGAGATAGTATTAATTTGGATAATACTCAATGATTCATTATTCTTTTGTTTTTGTTTTGATGTTGCTTATCTATTTTTGATTATTCCATTTTTCATTTGATATTGTTGTTGTTGTTTTTCAACTTTTGGAATTGATTGTAGTTCATTTTATTATTTCATTTTCGATTTTGATTTTTAGTTTATTCTTCTTTTGTTTTGCTATTCTTTAGTTTTCTTTGTTTCTTATTTTCTTATATTTGTGCATATTATTCCTCTTCTTTTTCTTTTTTTCTTTTGATTTGTATTATATGATTCTAATTTGTTTTTAGTTTTTTTCTATTTTGTATTTTCTTTTTCTTTATTCCCTTTTTTCATATTCTAATATTCATCTTATTATTCACTATCCACCAGACAAATTAAATTGTGTCGATTCTTATTGATTCAATTCTCATAAGGAAATATGTGATTATTTGTTTGGATTGTTCCATGTTTTGTTTTGCTTATTTCTGTTTGTTTTCTGTTCATCATTATCATCATTATTATTATTATCTGATTATTAATATATCCATTTTAACCGAAATCATCGAATCAATCATGTGCCATCAGTTTGAAACAACAATACAAATTCCACAGATCATTGTAAAATGAACCAGATAGAATTGTTCCAATCATAATCAATCGAAATATGTTCCTATTAAACGAATCAAATCAAATCAAATCAAATCAAATCAAATCAAATCACCTAACAAGATAAGATAAGATAAGCTTAAACTTACCAAATGGAATTGAAACCTATGAAAATCATATGAAATCAATTCCATTCTATTTATCAACAATACTCGAATCGATTTCGATTGAACATACCCCAATGATACAAGTAGATTGACATTTTGAAACAGATTTGGAATATCTATTTACCATCTCTATTCAATATTTAGATCCACTTTCCAATGTCACCAAAACGAGGACAACAGAAACTCCATTATACAGAAGTTAGTGATGTTAGACTTGGAAGATCCAAAGCAAATCATAACCAATCAATTCATTGTTACTTCGAAGTGTCAATGAAGTTGAATCATCATCATCATCCCATCTTTCTCCCCTACCTTCCAGTATCCGATATCATATGACACATATTGTTTTTCCTTCTTATTCATTCATTCATTTTGTCTTTCCTTCATCACTCACTCACTCATTCATTCATAGATTAATGGATCATTGCTTGTCATAAAGGAAACACTTGATTCTTTGCTTTCATTGATTCCATTTCTTCTATTGTTGACAAGGAATATTGTTATCGATTTTGATGGTCTGGAATCAATGAATGAATGGTAGGGGAGAAAGAGAGAAATAGCAGCAGCAATAACATTCACAGCAACAACAATAATAGTAGTAGTTGTTGTAGTAAGCAATGGACCAAACTATCTATCAAATGATTTAATCAATAATCAGAACCTACAATACGAAATCATTTCAAATCAATTCGATTGATGATTCGTGACAACAATCAATCTTTCCATGCAAACCGACAATCAAATGATCTTCTCTTCATTTATATTTAAATCTGAATCGATTCACATAGATTCATTCAATTATGTGGATTGTTTGAAATTGATATGTATTCTTGGTATTTGTTTGTTTTCACATATCGAGTTTGTTCTTCATTTCGATCATTCCACATAACAATCTAATTGATCTATTATCCAGAATCGATCAGTAAGTATTATTGATTGATTGATTCATTCATTCATACATGATAATAATAATAATACTCATATTACCAATAATATGACTATTATCATGGATTTGGTTCTTTCCTTATTTCTTTATTAAACTACACATATGATTGTTTCAATATCTCTTTCTATGATGATTACTATTATTATTATAATACATCAATAGCTATGGATGGTTCTCAGATATTAATATTCTTATTCCTTTTACTGTTATTCTTCTCATTATTGCTTGTTATTCACATACACATTGTTTGTTCTACATCAATTTGGTATCGATTCGATATCGGACACTGCATTGAGTTAACAATTCATCCATTTGGATTATTACTCATGTTATTGTTCGTTCCTATTGTGTTGTTGCTGCTCATTATTTCATTTCATTTCATTTCTGTTCTAGACATTGCTTTTGAACACATAATCTTATTATTATTCTCATTGATTTCTATTACTGTTATTATTGTTGCTGTGCCATTTTAACGAATACATTGTCGTTATTATTATTGTTATTTGCTTTGTTGTTTGATAGATTCATATTATGAAAGAGTATACAGAATAGGCATCGATTCAATCAATCAATCAATCAATCATGCGTTAAACAGTTCTAAAAGCATGAACAAATGATTGATTGAATGAATGATTGAATCGATGACATTATTGATGCAGAATTACAGTTCATTGGTTGTGATAAAGGTCTTTGTTGTTTTGTGAATCACTCCACGGAGAGAGAATCTTTCGTTCGTTCATTCATTCATTCAATGATTTGTTGGTTGATTCAATCATTCAATCAGCCATCCAAAGTGAATCAAATATGATTATATGAATGAATATAGAATAGAATAGAATAGAATGAATGAATGAATGACATCCTTGTTACTGATTTACAGATCATTGGTTGTGAGTAGTATATTGAGATTGTCAATCAATTCTTAGATAAGATATCATTCATTCATTGATTTGATCGTATAATCATTCAAATATCCCATTGCAATTCACATGATTGGTCCACTTTATACAGATTTAACGATATTTCCTTGTCAACAATCCATCATTCATTCTTATGGTACAAAATATACATAATCACAGTATGCACTCAATTCAAATCGATGTTT